CTGAAGGAAGGAATGGGTGGGGATGGAAGGGACTATGCAAAGAGGGGTCGGGAGGTGGGCACAGAATGGTTGTTTTCTTTTTACAGAGGTATTGAATGTGGATTGGGAAGCCAGGCTGGGTTGGACTGGGGAGATGGGAAACACTCTCCTTGGTTAAGAGGAATGGGAGCAGAAGGGTATAGGGTATGAGTGGATTGTTTTTTTTGTGGGGGGGCTTGGGAGGGAGTTTGTTTTGTTATACTTTTTTCTTTCAGTATTTTATTCTGTTTCTTTAATTTTTCTCTTTTATTGCAAGCTACCCTGAGCCTTTTTAGAAGGGCAGGATATAAATCTAATAAATAAATGTAAGATATGTTGGTTTTGAGCAAGTATGCTTCTGTATAGATTCACAACTAAATTTTTACAAAGCAACAGTCCATAAAGTATCCTAAACTTGATACAGAATTAACCTAAACATCCATTAAGTGAAAAATCTTACATGACAGGTATTAATCTGATGCCGACTCAGCCTTTCACAAAGCTCCTGTGCCAATCCTGCTCTTCTCAGTTTCTTACTGGCCATGTTCCCAAACCTGGTAGATAGGAAATCAATTATGAGCTAAAGAAACCTAGAAAAAGTTTTCGAAAATGTCAACATGCAAATAAGCACCCTCTTCTTTCTAAAGAATGGAAACAAACATGTCATATCACAAATCTTTGGAACACTAGGCAGTGTAAATGATCAGAGCAGCTGCTGTTAAATACAGACTGTGCTAATACAGTCAGATGTCAAGTCATACAGTTAGGAACACAAAACGCAGACCATACCTACAGCATGGAGATGCTATCCTGAGAAGAAGTGACACCAAAAAGGACTTAAGGCTCCTGAACAGCAGCTCCAAGAATGGCAGCGTGTCTAAAACAGCCACTTAAAACCTCGGATGGATAAACAAATGAATATTAAGTAGGTACATGGAGTTTGAGTACTAGTACAACCATTACTGGAATATGCTCTAGCTCTGGTATCCACAGCTTAGGACATGCATTGAAAAACTGGAGAGTTCAGAGAAGAGCCAAAGAATAAGTAAAAAAAAGAAAAGAAAAAGAAAATAAATATATGCCTTGAAGAAACTCAACCACAGAGAAGTCGGGCTGGAAGGGAGCCCCAGAGGTGTTAGCTTAATCTAGTTATCTTAGCCAGCAAAAAGTTATGGGATGATTTGTGAACAGTCTATCAAGGGCCTACATGTAGAAATGAAATATGCTTGTCTGCTTCAGTCTTGCAGACAAAGCTGTAACAAGATTCAATGGCTGGAAAACGAAGCGAGGCAAATTCAGACTACAAATAAAATGAACATTTTTAACAGTGAGGGTAATCAATCATTGGGATAAATTAACAACTGCTGTGGAAGCACTGGAAATTTTAAAATTAGGACTGGATGTTTTCTGAAAGATATGCTCTGGTTCCACTACAGCTCTTTGTCTTAAAGCAGGAATTAAGTCAGAAAAGCCCTGTGGCTTACATTAAAGGCAGACGGGTCAAAGTGGATAATCACAATGGTCCCCTTCTGGCTTTAAAAATCTCTAACTATTCCAGCTATTTACAAGAAAGATTAGAATAGCAAGAAAAAGGGTCCGACCAAGGCAATAACAATACCAGCGTAATGGCTGGTATTTGCAAAGCCAATGCGACAAAATTATGCACAACCGCTCAGTAGGCGTTTATTTTCCTGGCTCTATGTTGAGTTTGTTCTTTCAGACACAGACTCGTGACAACACCTCCTACAGCTTCCTAGCCAGAACTTCAGAACAATCCAATAAATGGCTCTTTACAAACACCACCAACAAGAAACTAAAAATAGGACACGCACATGCCCACCTCCATGTAGAGTTATGTCAAGTTGAGATTATGGTTGGATGGGATGGCTTGGATAGAGATGACCCTGCCTCAGGCAGGGGGTTGGACTTGACCTCTGGAGCTGCCTTTCAGCCCGACTTCGCTGTGGTTCTATGTAAGCAGTGGAACAGCCTGTGCTAAGCATCAGGGCCACGTACCCTGCGCTTTATGCCTCTGAGAGGTCGCTAGCATAAAGTCAGTAGACGGCTGAGTGGAGATGCACCTTTATAGGCTAAAAGAGAAAGAGAGAGAGAGAGAGAGAGAGGCGGGCAGTGTGTGAGTTTCATCCCAAGCATGCTTCATCACATGCTTGGCCTTGAACAATTTGACCTGTCTACACTCCACTTTTTTTTATTATTTTTTAATATATTTTGTGTTGCAGGTCAAATTGTCCAAATCAGTTCCAGATCACATCAATTGAGAACTCAGTTGTTCCAAAAACTGTATCAACTGAGCAAGAAAGACTCAATTGTCATGTACAATGCTACAACCCGCAAGCATCCTCCGTCACCCTGGGACTTCACATACTCCCAAACCCATTGGCAGGCATCCTAGGGCAGGCCCAAGCCCAAGGTCTTGGTGTTGGGACGCCCCCAGATACTACAGGCAAGCATCCTCCATCCCAGACTCTGTAATCTGGGACTTCAGATGCAGCGACTCCTTGCTTAACGTGGTAGTTACGTTCTTCAAAAAGGCAAAATGATGTTAAGTGAATCCAATTAGATCACAGTCATTACCCATTAGCAGGCAGCGGCCAAACAACGCTATAGCCGAACACTGCGCAACTTTAAATGGGTATGTTCTCCAATAGCTCAGCAACATAACAACGAAACGTGAACCGGGACGACGTTAAGGGAGGAAGGAGTACCTGTACTCCCTACTCTTCATCCCAGCACGCAAGAGGCCGCACTTTGCATCGCCACCTGCTTTAGGCCTCCCTGAAACAGAGGGCTCCCCTCTGGGCCCCCACTCGGGCAGGGCACAGGCACACCCACGTGAGGGCGGAGGCCAGGCAGCCGCGCGGGCACTTCACCGAGGCGCCTTGACTCTCAACCAGCTGCCCCCTGGAGGGGGTGAGGTCCTTTGCGGGCAACCACACGCCTGAGGGCGGCCCCAGGGACGCTACATGGGAACCCACCTCCTCCCCGCTCTGCCCGGGGAGCCCCGGCACCACGGCCCTGGCTCTGGTCTTTCTCGAGATGCCAACCGAAAGCCCAGAGCCCCCCCCGCCTTGCGGGTGCAGCGCCCGGAGCAACAGTGCCCCCGCCCCTCCCCCCGCGCCGCAGCGCACGCGGCGCCGCTGACCTTGGAATTTTTTCCCCCCCCCCAGTCTCCCACTTCCCTGGAGCAGTGGGCGGAGCCTCCGCGCAACATCCCGAGCCGCAATTGGCCCTTCTCCCTCACCAATCAGCGGCAGAGGCTAGGCGTAGCCCTGCGCGGGGCCTGCTGGGGCTTGTAGTGCTCGGCGGAAGGTGCTGTGTGCGGGGATTAGGTGCTACCCGCCAGGGAGGCTGCGGCGGGGGCAGAGGTGATCTGCCAGTCCCCGGGAGCTGCGCGGGGCAAAGGGCAACTCAGCCGAGCACGTTGCTGGTCCTTTCCTTTGAGATGTGGCCGTTGATTGTTTTCTGGCCACACAAAGGCCGGGCGTGCAGACGTCGGCGCCCCGAATTTGTGGGCACGACAAAGGTGGTGGGTGTCAGTCTGTGCCCCTGGGCGGACCCAGGACTTCGCAAGGAGGGTGCAGTTGGGGAGGGTCCCCCAAAACACAACACACTTGTCTCCAGGGAAGAAGAAACTGGAAGCTTTTGTCTCCGGAGCAGGACCCAGGGCTGCATGTTCTGTTTGAGATTGAAGCAAAATCTACTGGAGAAAGTCTAGCAGAGGGCAACAGATCAGGGGCTGGAGCACATGACTGATGAAGAGAGGCTGAGGGAACTGGGCTTATTTAGGCCAAAGAAGAGAAGACTGAGGAGGGATTTAATCGCAGCCTTCAACTACCTGAAAGGGGGCGTTCGAAAGAGGATGGAGCTAGACTGTTCTCAGTGGTGACAGGACAAGGAGCAACGGTCTCAAGTTGCAGCGAGGGAAGTTGAGGTTGGGTATTAGGAAAAGCTCTCTCACTAGAACAGGTTATCCAGAGAGGTTGCAGACTCTCTGTCCTTGGAGGTTTTTAAGACCTGGCTAGACAAAGCCTTGGCTGGGATGATCTAGATGGGGCTAGTCTAGTTTTAAGCAGGGGGGTTGGACTAGATGGCCTCCTGAAGTCCCTTCTAACCCTAATCTTTTATGATTTTATAATTCAACTTCACTGCAAGAGTATGAGGAATACAGTTTTAACCAAATCCACTTGCCACAAAATGATCTTATCAGGTACAAACCAGAAGGGAATTTGAAATACCCAAATTAAAATAAATTATTCAAGTAATGGGGGCAAAGCCAAACCAAGGTAGTATTTAGCTAAATGATTACAAAATATTAAAGTTGTGCTATGAATGGAAGGAAGAATTGTGCTTCCGATTACACACCGAGTACGAAGTAGTCTAACGTTCCAATTCTCTAGAGATAACAAGGAAAATCATGTGTTGACCAAGTAACTGATCTTTTATCATTTCAGTCTCTCAACAAATATGTTAAATTTAACTAAAATCTCCAGCTAGTTCCATGTTATTTGATAAAAGTCCCCAGTGCAGTATTTTTTTAAAAACTTCAAATTCCAGACATGGGTCACAAATGCAAATAGTTTATTCAATCCATGATTCATCTCCATTTGTCCAGTTCACAAGGCCATGGAAGAACTTGTTGTCTCTGGCTTCATCTATTAAAAAAAAGCAACATGGAATGAAATCTAGTGCAGGTGCCAGAATATATCATAATTTAGGTCATCACATTCAATTTACTTGAATTGTCCCCAAAACTCAGGTCCCAACGTTATTCTGTGCTTCTCCTTCACCCCCTTTAAAAACATATATATTGTTATTGGAGCAGAATAGCTGCTGTGCTTTTCCTCAGAGATTCCTGCAGTCAAGTAATGTGTGATCACATACAATCTCCACATGTGCATGCGCAAAAGCACTCAGCATCCTTCAGGATGGAAAAACTATAAAATAAAAGATTTCAGTAATGACCAGGAGAAAGATAAACTTGCAATTCAAACTCAGGGCTTGCGCTCAGGACTTCTGAAGCTTCATTATTAATATCTGATTCCTCCAATAAAAGACACTGAAGAAATGAAAAATACTATTTTTATTATATGCAATTTTTTAATCAGTGACTCCTTGACTTAATATAAACAATCTCAGAAATTAACCTGGCTGTTTGGAAATAATTATATTGACATTGTTTGGACTACCTGTTAAGAAAAACACATGCCATGAGCCTCAGGTTTAGGTACACAAAGAGGAAACCAAAACTGCATATGAATACTTATAGAGGTATGCATACAGGAAACAAGTATGCATAGAGGAAACTTCATTGTGAGATAAAGACAACAACAAATAAAAAGTTCAAAACTTTTAAAATACACAGGTTACAAGAAGTTGGGGGAAGATACAACATAGCAGGAGTCTAAATGGGACAATGCATGCAACATATATATTAAAAAAAAGAGTTATTGTAACTGAAGCTCACACTAAAAATTAATTGCCTTAAGTGAGAAGAAGCTCAAAAGAGATTTAAGGAGCTGGTACCAGAGTAGCCAGGCCTCATGAAAAACAGTAGAGCAAGTACAAAAGATTTGGCCATAAGTAGCAGTTAGCTGAACAGGGAGACAGGAAATGAAATGGAGAAAGAGCTCCTCCTAGTGTAGTGAAACAATCCACAGTAGACTATAAACAGAATTGGTTTAGAAGGGCTTGCTAAAGCAGGGAAAGCCGAGATCATATGCCAAGAGAGGAGGAAGAGAAAGAAGGCACAGAGCATTGCAGGGCCACACCAAAACAATTCAGAAACAGACACTTCACAACCTGAGTGCCTAGTGTGGCACATGTACCAACTCAAGACAGTGTTGAGAGGACTTTCCCACAGCAGTGATTCCTGCAGTTAACACTCCATTACAAATATATGGGGCAGTTCACCTCTCTCAGACACATTGTTCCAGGCTCCTTATGGATTTCTTTTTGCATGTATGCTGCCAAAGCAAGTGCTAAGCATCAGCACATCAGTAACACCTGGGTCATGATTTCAACATTTTTTTCACAACCATGAGCACTCAAAACTTTTTTAAAAAGGAAGCTAAGCTTCTAATCATGTACTTCAGCAATTTGGGCCCTCAGATATGGGTCCCCAAAACACAGATCTCCAAATTAGCAGTAACGCTCTATTAAATTTTACTGTAGTCAGTGTAGCCCAAATAAGGGTACATAATACTAGAATTCAGGCCCCCTGGGTTTTATTCCAGGCTCTGCCATTGGTCTGCTGAATCACAGCAGGAAAGTTATTTCACTTCTCTGTCAGTTTCCCCATCTGTAAAATGGGGATAATAATGTTTGCCTTCATTGCAAACCATTTTGAGATCTGTTGATGAAAAATACTATGGAAGAGCTACATATTAGTACTGAGCAGGAACAAAAAGATGTTCCAAAGGCCCATAACTTTGCCAAAAGTGTACATATTTTCTTGAAAACAGTAACATGAATAAAGACAACTCTTGCCCAGCAAATTTCAAGTCCTTCCTTTAAGGCACAGTTGTTAAAACAAAATGGTTGCAAGATTTTTATTTTTATTTTTTTACAAAGCAAAACATGCTTCTCTTGGATCTTGTTCTTGGAAACAGCTTGGCTATTTGGATTAAATGTTCCAAAAATGTTTGGGAAAAGGTTGGTGCCGGGAGTGAGTGGACAAGGAGTTACCAGACATGAACCATTCAAAAAAGTTATAAGCAAAAAGGATCTTCTAAAGAGAAGTACCAAGCCACTTCATGACAGATAGAAATACCAGCTTCATCTCTAATATGGCATGCACAATTTAATTCAGTAACCAAAAAATAATGAATTCCCACATATGCCTGTGGACAAATTAGAAGTCAGTGAGAGCTGTTGTATTCTTATTAGCTAGAGATGCTTGGATAGCAATATGTGAAAACTGTTGTTTCTATCTCATATTCACTCTATGCTTGCCAAATCTAGCCTAGCTTTGGCTGGGGGTATCTCCTGCTGTTTGAGGGCATCTAGTTGTCTGTGTGGATCATGTTGGAAGAACATAAGGAAGGAAGACTGAAGCAGTGCTGCTAGAGTGCGCTTGGGTAGCTGTTTTGCTGACTATCAAATGGCTTTGCACTTTTCTTCCTAAGTACTCAGGAAAAACATGAACCATTTTGTTGAGGAGATCCAGGCAAGTATATCAGGTGTCTGTATTGCCCTATCAAGAAGGAACAGCTTATACACACATGCGCGTGTGTGTGTGTGTAGAGAGATAGACAGATTTTTAAACAAAATAGGTAGTATTTTCTTCCCTATTCTGTCTTTCCACCAAGCTCATGATGTCCAATTTATTTTACCTGAGTTAAGAGGTGTGCCCCTGTTTGCTTCCCAGATATCCAGATATGGCTTTCAAAAACCAGTATGTAACTGGGTATGCTCACGCTTCCATACACAACACCACACAGCTGATGTTCTACTCCCAGAGAATATTTCTTAACCGATAATTGGAGTCAGCAGTGTTAGACACCCATGTGTTTAGTTACAATGATCAGCATGGTTTCTGATTGCTTTTTCAACAAGGTCTAGGAATGACTTACTGGCCCTTTTCATGGGTTCTACAGGTTGAAATACAGTAGTAGACTAGGAGAAAGAATGCCTACATTCCACCAGCTCTACTTCAATATAACCTTGGGCAAGTTGCTTAACCTACCTTGGGTCTGTTTTTCTTCCTTCCTTTAGTCTGTCCTACCATTTAAACTATAACTTCTTCTGATAGGGACTGTCTCCTAATATGTGCATGTACTGTGCCTGTCACAATAGACTCTGCCTCTATGAGCCACTTATCACCAGTCATAAAGGGTGATAAGTAATAAAGCTGAGACTTTACCACTGAATTGCACCACATTAATTCAAGAAGCTGCACTAAACTGGGACACTGGAATACTGTCAAAAACAGACAAAGCCTAACAGCAACGACACACAGATTTTGTGGGGGCAAAGTGCTCTAACATCAAACATACCAATTATGATTAAGAGTTTGATGGCAATTAGCTTACAAAAGGGCACACCAATGGGGACAGAGACTGATTTGAATGGTGAAGGATAAAATGCTTATCATGTCTTGTCAGCATAAAGCTCACATCATTTGGATGACTTTGCTGGGCTTCTGCAGTTTAAAAGACAATACCAATACAATCACAGTTTCTCCCTGTAACCCAAGACAGTCTCTTACATATATCTTTAATAAATAATTTCACACAATAGAACAACTCTTCAGATTACTCACCTAATTACTAAACAAAGGTAAATAATCTCAGGCTCCTTATTCACTAGCTTTCCCAGACTGAATTTTATCTTCTCATTATTCATTAGTTCTTTAGAGCTAATAGTGTGTCTAGTTCTATACAGCGAAAGCCACAATCCATACCCAAGAAGGAGTATAGCATCTTCAAGCTTTTGTGTATTGTCTCTGAATCACGCTGACTTAAGGAAGTGGTCCCATTGGCAGGAGCCAGTGCTCTCATATCAATGCAGGAGCAGGCCCTGTGTGGGCAGTCCAAAATCAGTTCAATCACAAAATGCACAGAGTGAGCCCAGCTCATTCCTGCTGTTTAGAAATACTCTGCCTCTCTGGATATGTCTGTTTGACTGATGTCTAATACATTCCTATCAAGGATAAAATACATTCTTCTGGGGCTGGGAAATGATTAGGGCCTGAATCATACTTTCCCAGGATTAAACTCACAATAGGTTGCCTAAGTGAGAGTAGGACTCCACAAAGGAATCCCCGTTGTTCCATGGAAGGGCTGTATTTGCTGTCACTACCAGCTCCAAAATAAGATGCAGGTTTAATCCTCAAAGAATTCCCTGGACCTGCATAGATTTCAGAGGATCTACAAGAAACCAAAGTAAAAGGTAGGGAGGTACACCTGCACACCAGCTACAAAGCCTAGGGTCCTAACCTCCACTCCCTATCAGTACCATTTTAAGGAAGTCCTTCTCCCACAGTGTCTATCCTGGCTGCAACCACTCCTATAAGAATCATCTTTTGTTCTGTCTCTGCATAGTACCTACCAAAGTGGGATCCCATTTCTTCTCCTGGATACTATAACAAAAGACAGTCTCTCTACGTGGACCTGCAAAGAATGAAATGCAAACCCAGGCTCTTCCTGGTCTCAAGACCAGTGTGTGGAGGGCAAATGATGCATCTCCTTCCAGCTGTACCCCTGCTCTTGCCTCTCTCTCATCTTCTCCCTGTTCATGGCCTCTGGAGAAAGGAGAACTCCCCATTTGGTCTGACAAAAGCAGAGATGACTTCCCTTCCATGCCAAGAATTCCCAGCGCATACAGCTAATGGAGACATGTTCTAGCCCCATGTCCTTACATCCAGCCAGGAAACACGTTCTAGCTGACAGGACAGTACAAAGGCACCGTCCACCTCTGTTTACAGATGCTTGGAAGTGTGGGCTCTGCTATTTCATGTTTTGCTATTATATTGTAACCCCCAAAATAAGTAATTTCATTTTTAAAAGAATTTGTGTATTTCCAGCTTCTTTGCCAAAGCAAACCAGAACATCTGTTATTGAAAAAGGAGAACCAGGTGCTGGTCAGACATGTGATGACCACCCAACCTGCATGTAACAGCTTTGCGCAGCAAGCTGCTGTCAGAGGGAGAGCTGTGTTTGCTTTTTGTCCACAGCCCAATATGCTGAATGAGAAGCCTCTGGGATTATTCCTTTCTCCTCTAACCAGACTGCCCACCAGATCATCTTCCCTCTCATTTAGGGTTTTTTTCTGGTTAAAGAGATAACAGCAATCTTTATTTATGTCTGGGGACTTTGCATTAAATTATTGTTAGATTAAAAGGCTGTAAACTGGCAGGATGACAGCACAGTAATCAACAAGGATTGCTTATAAGAAGAAGCAAATCTTTACCAGTATGCATTAAGACTGAATTACCTTATATAAAGCAAGCAACCCTTCCTTGTACCACAAAACACTTGCTCCCTCACAGTCTTCCTCCCCCAGCAGCCCTTGTAATAGCCTTTCTTCTTGAGCACCTGTGCAAGGAAAGAGGCAGGGAAAGATGGAATTAACCCCTTCTCTACTGGGGACCAGTTAATGTCTCTGTACCACACCACAGAGCTTCAGGTTTGGAGATGAAAAGCAATGAGGGAATAAGAACTTGGACTTTAAATAATGTTTGGTCCTTCTATATCTCCTTCTAACCAAGGATCTCAAAATGTTTTGATTGCCCTGTGCATTGTCTTCATTTCAGTAAAGGCAGCATGGTACACAGAGAAGTGACCTATCTGCTCTTGGACTCGGTGAGTGAGTCAGTAGTAGCACAGAATCACCCCAAGACAAAGTTACTTTTGGGAGTTCATGTAGCATGCATGGATATTTTACCAGAGTAGATTTACTCCTGTGGTGCTTATTTTAGCCAACTGTAGTTAGTGCAAAGCTGCATTCAGTTTTATTGTTCTTTTATAGTATTTGATATAAATGAAATTTTGATGCATCATTATATATCATCCAAGGTTGGGTCAGTCAGGCAGTGATTAACTTAAAAGGCCATCACTTATTTACACTTAGAAGAGAGAATGGCTGAGAATTAGCATTGGCAAGGGTTTGACCATGTGCCTCCATTCCGACTGCTATGAGGCATAGGAAGCATGGATCTGGCTTGACAATGATAAATTTACATTTTTTTAAAAGAGTAAACAGCTTGACACCTACCTAGTCAAAAGATCATAGAGGAGAGAAAGTATATTGGATAAAGAAGCCTACAGGTCTAAAAGGGATGCAAGTTTGTGGTCCTGTAAACAGCCACTTTTGGGGGCCAGGAAGTTACTGGCATAGCATAAGCACCCCTAAAAATGAAGGGCTGACAAACGTAAATAGCCAGACTTAAAGCCTGCCTTGAAAGGATGGTTTTGCCATCAGTCTTCCTGGGTAAAATTGGGAAGGGGTGAGGTCCCCAACTGAGGAGGCTAGGAAAAGCAAGTTGACAGAGAGATTTAAAAGGCTCTGGCATGAGGCCAGAAGCAGAGATTGCTCTCGGTCTTGGGAAGCTGACTAAGGACTACAACTCTGGAGTTAAGATACAGGATAAGAAGAGATCAATGTTCTGATATTTTCTTTTGATTGTTCACTCTTATCTCTCTGTCTCAACACATGGTTACTGATTTCTTGTTCTGCTCTTATTCGCTTATTTTTCTGTTTTTCTAACAAATCCTTCTGTTGTTTCTCTCCTCACTGGTTGCCTGTGGAAGAGGTGACCTCTGGGCATTCCAAGCTACCTCTCTCTATGGAGAGCAGGACCTTTAAATTCTTCTATAACCCAAAGTGGGGACGACCTACGCTAGGGACAGAAATCACGTATAAATCAGTATACCTGATTGAAAACGGGTTCGAATCTGTAACACAACCTAGAGCCAGCAGAGATTAGATACCTTACTGCAGCTACAGGGCCCGGTGTAAAGTATTGAAACTGAGGCTTGCTGGGATAGGGAGCATCTTGGTCTGTTCTCTGTGGGGAGGGCAGCACAGTGGGAAGAAACTTGGGACTCCGGGGGTCCAGACATAGCAGAACTGGACATAGAATCCAGTGGTCCTGACTCTTGAGGAGTCACATGACCATCCCTTAAATTGTGGCTAGAATACATATTTAAAATGCAACCCATCTCCACACACTCTCTCGCCTTATTCTAGCTGATTCATAAGGAATCTCAGACAAAACTTGGAAGGAAAGCCACTAATAGTGACCAATATACTCCACTCTGGGAAAGGATTGCAACATATCCAGCAACTGCAGATGAAAATGTACAATTGAAAACAATTCCAGTTAGTTCTGTGTGGGAACTTCAGCCATGTTCTTACAGCCCTAAATTTAATCACATGTATTCAATGCAAAGTTTTGATTTTGTATCCCTAGACTCTAGTAGTGATGAACCTTTTATCTGATGTCCTATTGAGGAAAGAGATGCTCCATTGACTTTAAGCTGTAGCATCAAGACGAACAGAATGCTGTTAACTTCCCCTGTCTATTATGGACTCCCTTCAGAGCGCATGCTTGAATACTTTGCTGAATCATGACGATGACTGTAACCATAACCAGGAAATGGAATAGAGTAGGGGAGTCCATACAGTTGATAACAACTTCACTGTATAGGTCTGATTAACCAGAGAAAGTTTTAACAAACTAATGGATACCACGAAAAACCTGAAGTCAGTAGCAAAGGAGACACCAGGCCTAAAACTCCATCTGAGTCTTCTGCTGGAGATTCAAATCACTAACCTACTAGGACGCCAGGAGAGGGAAAGACAGTGATTAACTTTGGGAGGCCATGTCTGTCCTGTATCAAGTTATAGGCTGATAGTGTGAAGAGATGATGGATTTGTCACTGCTTGCCACCTTCACCCCAAGCTCTCATACAGTCTCTCCTGGGATGTTGCAATGGAGCATTGTTGGCAAATTGATTGTAGCAGCACAGCTAATAGGCCTCTTCCAACACAGGATAAGGTAGTTTGTAGCTGACTGACGTGAACCCTATTCTTCCCCTATGCTTATTCTACTTCTACATGCTAACACATTAAAACTCACAGTGTCTCATTAGCAAGGATCATGAGCTAGATTTAAACCATTGTAACATTGAAGAAGGCTTGTTTTACAGTGGCCAGTCATTGGAGCCAATGATTTCCCACCCTTTTGGTCATATTCCATGGTTACAAGTATATTCTACAAATCATTATGTATGAGGGAGAATAGGGCCTCCCCAGTCCAGAGGTAGTAATTAGGCTAAAATGAGCCAAGCTTTTCTAAACTGAACTGGCAAAAGATACCCGCTGTTTGTTCTTCTTGTAGGATATCCCATAATGGCCCAAGAAGTCAATCTTGGATGCCTCTTTTCAGAGGCCACAATTTTTTCCCCCCTTCCAACCACAGCCCTCAGGGTGTCAGACAACACCTACACAAGCTTCTGTAGAGAAGAAATGGGGCAGAGGCAGCAAGTAGTGATTTCTGCCTGGACAGCAAAAGCAAAGCAGCGTAAACTCCACGCTCTTATCTCCACAGGGGAGCAGAATGCTGAAGTGCCCTTGACAAAGGAAACTGCATCATTGACGCAGCACATAAAAAAAAAATCTACACATGGGTACTTGTTTTCAACCCATGCCTTGAGAAGAACATTCAAAACCAGCAAGAGTGATGAATTGCCTTGCTACTGGTAAAGAAAGCCCCTCTTCATTAGGCTGTAAAGGCCACAGTAATCAATTCTGGTAACACAGAGGCTGAACCAAGTCCTGTGGTTCTCATTTGAAAACAAAACAAACAAACAAACACACAAAAAATCAGGTAGAAGAACATTTTATTCCAGATACTTTTTCAATGTGATGGCCTTTGGCTCCACATACTTTGCATTCTGCATGTTTTAATGTATTAGGCTAGGGACAGAAGTTACACATAAACTGGTTTAAGTGATCAGAAACTGGTTTAACCCTGTAACAGAACAGAGGCTTAGTGCACATAAAACAGTTTCAAAATGGCTGAAGTTGGTTTAAGATAAACCTCATTGAATGTAGACGGGGGGGCACACCCCCACCCCACCCCTGCATGTGCCCCACTTCCTCCCTTACCGCTAGGGCCTCAATCTGCACCCCTCCCCCAGAGCTTTCCCCTCCCTCCACAGACTTACCTGTTGGGGGGGGGGGGGGCCTGCAAAATAATTTGTTCTCACTCCACCTATGCAAATGCTGATGATAATTACTAGGAGACCACCTAAATTGTTCCAGAAATGCACTGCATAGCATCTCCTTTAATCTTGCTCTTTTTGCTGTTGTCCACCCCCACAGCCAAGTTAATTGGCAGAAGGTGTCCAGCAGCCCTGCCATTCATGACTGATCAGCTGGGGCTAGTGACAGACATGACACAGACTGGTTTAAGTGATCAGAAACTGGTTTAAACCTGTAACAGAACAGATGTTCAGTGCACATAAACCAGTTTGAAAATGGCTGAAACTAGTTTGAGAAAAACCTGACTGAATGTAGTAACAGACTTAAGTGATTTGGGCCAAACCAGTTTATGCAATGTCTGTCCCAGACCCCTTCCTGGTTTAAGTTAAATCAGAGTCCTCCAGCAACCCAGCTGCTTTGCAACTCTGGGCAGGACTCTGCTCTCTGGTACAGCCCAGCAGGGCTGGGCCCTCCCTTCTGCTCCCTGGCTGCAGCTCTGGCAGAGACTGCACGTACAGCAGGGTCTGCCTGGCTTCCTCCTGCTTCTCCCCACTCCCCTCCCTGCTCAAGAAGGGATCTCCCCCTCCCCTCTGCCTTATATAGATGCCTCTCAGCATTAGCTAGCAGACCACATGCTGGCTACAGTCTATGCTGTGAGAGACAGGACAAAGGTGGACAGGACAGTGTTGGCTTAGGGCTTTTTGGAGTTAATCAACAGGTAGCTTGTAGTGTTCCTCCATCCCTTCCTTGGAAAAAGCTGTTTAAGAACTTGAACTAATGGAGAAAGGCTTTTGTTTTCTTGATGGGCTGATAAACACTGAGTTAGGAGTGATAAACACTGTATTATAAACTCCCTGCGGGGCTTGTCAGGAGCAGGGAAGGGGAGAGAACTCCTACCTAATCAGAGCATCTTGCGGGGGCCTGACCACCCTCTCAGCTCAGC